CTGTCTGTCTGTCTGTCTGTCTGTCTGTCTGTCTGTCTGTCTGTCTGTCTGTCTGTCAGGGTGCTGTTCATTTTTTGTATACTTCATTTAGAAAATTTTTGGATATAAATATATGGATATAAATACGGTATATGGACATATTACACATAGCATATTTTTTAGTCAAATTTCACATGTAAATGTAGTTTTTACATAAATTCTGTCAGATGTTCTAGCTCAATTTGGGCTACAAATCAATTTAAAGCTTGCAACTTAGTGTGGCTGCACATTTTGATATTTTTGCCACCATCAATTATCTCAATTCATGGGGCACAACAATTTACAGAATGATTTGAATACACATACTGTAAAATCTGTATTAGAAACCGCAGTTTCTATTAAAATGGTACAACAATGCAATAGAGGGGATGCGGTTCTATTGTCATATTTTTCATATTCACAGAGATTTAATTTACTTATCAATGAAGGTGTGGATATTGAAAACAGTGAATAATTAATGTGATCATGATATTTGATTTGGACATTAAACAGCAAATACAAATTATGTTGCTCATAACTCTATGTTTGGTTAACTGTTAATTGAACATTGAGTTATAATTTAGGCGTGATTTTGCAAATGTGGGCATTGTTTGTAAAATATTATCATGGTCATTTTTGTAATTTGATGTTTTCTTACCAGCATGTTACCAACTCAGTGTTCGTAACTCCAACAATTCAGCTTCCTAGGCCACCCATAATTCAGCTTCCTAGGCCACCCATAATTCAGCTTCCTAGGCCACCCATAATTCAGCTTCCTAGGCCACCCATAATTCAGCTTCCTAGGCCACCCATAATTCAGCTTCCTAGGCCACCCATAATTCAGCTTCCTAGGCCACCCATAATTCAGCTTCCTAGGCCACCCATAATTCAGCTTCCTAGGCCACCCATAATTCAGCTTCCTAGGCCACCCATAATTCAGTTACAAATTATTTAATTTCAGGTTATTGATATAGGCAGTGGTAAAGGATATCTCAGTCAGCATTTGTCACTGCAATATGGACTCAATGTGATAGGTATTGACTCAGCAAATATCAACACCACTGGAGCCTTGGAAAGAAACAGAAAAATTAAAAAGTTTTGGCCAGGATTACATCGAAAGGCTAATGTTCAGAAATCACCTCTGAAAACTGATGAGAGTATGGTTAATAAACTTGGCAATGATGTCATGCAGATAGGATTAATAGATTCCACTGTTAGTAAAATGGTGGATTGTCAGGTTGAAGCTGGTAACCTAGCAACCATAGGTGATGCTGATGGCAGGGGAAAAACAGTTGATTTGAAACATGCTGTAGTTTCTGCAGAAATTAAAGACAAGATGTGTTCTTTCAGACCAGTGACTGCTTATGTGGATACACAAACTCAGATCACCAGTATGTTTGAAGATGGTGACAACATTGAGGTATGTTGATTGACTTGTCATTGTTGTCATGCTTGCGGTAGAGGTGTGAATGACTATATACGTATAATGTGAGGTCTAATATGAATCTAAAAAAATCATCATCCTCCAAAACTTCTGGTCTCATGTAAAACTGAGAAACAAATCAAGCAAACCTGACATTCTGCACATTTACATTAAATCAAATATTGACAGTGGTTTATTATTCAAAACTATTCTAGTATTAATATTTTGGAACAAGGAACCATCGCCAAGTAACTTTTTTTGTTTTCTACCATTTTCAACCTGTTTGTGATATCTTGATATATTATAGGTATACTACAACAAAGGACAATCAAACTGAAATGTCACTAAATTTCCATTCAACAACGTCAGATTGTTTATAAATTGTACCTGAATTTTGTTATTTTTCTTAGGATCTCCTTGTAACAGGTCTGCATACATGTGGTGACTTGTCTGCTTGTATTCTTCGCATGTTTACTCATGATGACTCTGTTAAAATACTATGTAATGTTGGTTGCTGTTATCACCTTATATCAGAAAAGTTTGAAGATGAGTCAGAGAGACATGTTGCCATGCCAACATGTATTTCTTCTTCCAGTGACAGTGAATATGGTTTTCCTATGTCTGATGTTTTGAGACGGAAAGAAGCTACAATTGGTAGAAGTGCAAGAATGCTGTCATGTTTAGTAAGAAATAGTTTGTTTATTTGAAGTCAGTTACAGTTCTATTGTGACTCCAATGTGACTCCAGTGTGACTTCAGTGTCACTCTCAGACTGGTTTCACCCCAAATGTGACATCACTGCCATTCAATGTGACTCCAGTGTGACTGCTGTCTCATTCTATTGTGACTCAGGTGTCATTCAATGTGACTCCAGTGTGACTCTTGTGCCACTCCAGTGTCATTCAGTATGACTGCTGTCACTCTAGTTTCATTCGATGTGACTCCAGTATCACTTTGCTGCCACTTCTTTGTCATTTAGTGTTATTCCAGTGTGACTATTGTGTCATTCCATTGTGACTTGTGTGTCATTCAATGTGACTCCAGAGTCACTCGGTGCCACCCCTGTGTGACCACCCCAGTAAGATTTCAGTGTCATTCCAGTGTGACTCCAGTATCACTCTAGTGCCACTCCAGTGTCATTCAATGTGACTCATGTGTCACTCTGGTGTCACTCTCATGCCATTCCAGTGTCATTCAATGTGACTCATGTGTCACTCTGGTGACACTCTCATGCCATTCCAGTGTGACTCTAGTGTAATTTAGTGTTAATGCTGTATCACTCTAGTGTGACTCCAGTGACACTCTGGTGCCACTCCAATGTGCCTGTTGTGTCTTTCTATTGTCTATAGTTTCATGTGACTTCACTGTCATTCTAGTATCAGTCCAGTGTGATTCAAGTATCATTCAATGTGACTCCAGTGTGACTGTTGTATCACTCTAGTGTGACTCCAGTGTCAACCCAATGTGACTCCAGTGTCAATATGGTGCCATTCCAGCAGGCTATTAGCCAGGAATGTACAACTACCAGTCCAAAACAATTCAACTTCATGAAAATGTAGATGGTTTTCAATATTGGTAAATTTATTAAAGAACAATAGAAAAACAACAAAAAAATGGGAAAAAGTTGTTTGGTGGGTGGACTGGTGGCTGGCTAACACTCTGCACTCCAGTGTCAGCCCAGTGTGACTTCAGTGTCATTTCAGTATGGTTCCAGTGTCATTTAATGTGACTTCACCCTCACTCTTGTGTCACTCCAAGGTTCATTCAGTGTGACACAAGTGTCACTCAGGTGCCACCCCAGTGTGATTACAGTCTTCTGCATTCCTGTGCCACTACAGTGTTTCTCACGTGTGACTTGAGCTGGGATTTACTATTGGATGTCACTTTGGGGGGTAGGGGGGGCTTTGGTTGAGGTGTGCATTTACTGACTGGGACATCACAGTGCAACCATGGATATAAACATTAAACTAGTTAATGCTGCGACAGTTTCATATTGTTTGATGTAAATCAGTTGATTATAATCTTGTAGTGTCTTTGTGCATATTGTGTACTATATTCTTGTAGTGTCTTTGTGCATATTGTGTACTATATTCTTGCAATGTTTCCTCTCAATGTTGTGAAGTATAATATGCTATGTTCTTTGATTACAGTCTGTTGATAGAATTGAATCTGATGTGAAATTACCATCACAGTCGTTATTTTACAGAGCTGTGTTACAAGTTATTATACAACAACACTATACTCTACCAACTAGGTATAAATATTGTATATTTACATATGTCTTTACAACTCACTGACATTGTCCAAAAACATTTATTTATTTTTTTCATAAAGTTCTGCAATCACCTCATACTTCTGTTGATTTTAATGGGATATACATTACTTGTTGCAAAGAACTAATTTTGAGTCCATCGCTACCTTTGAAACTTACATGCTCTAGCTTGTATAAAATCGATTCAATTTTGTCTACATAAGAGGGGGGGGGGGGGTGATTTCATCATCTGAATATTTGATATCTCATCAGAACACCAGAAACCAATGTATACATTTTCACAATCAGTCACAAAATGGTCAGATTCAGATTCTACTTTGTTAGTTTTACATTAGGATATAACATACAGGTCGTTTGGGTGTCTTGTGTCTAAAATGTTCAAAATTAAGTTCATGTACACTGATGGATATTTTTGTTAATGTGGCTTTATATGGCTATTTATTATGATATTTGCAGGCAGCAGAGAGTTGGTAAGATAGCAGCAAAGTGTAAAACATTTGTGGAATACGTCAGAAAATCATTAAAAAAGTTACACTATGATGAGAACAAGGTAAAGTTTAGGACATTCCATTTGAACATTGGGGTGAGCAGGAGAGTTATGAAAATAAAAATAAAAGATAAAAAAAAAATAACAGTTTTTATAATGACTAAACAAATAGGGAAATATGTGCAATAAACAATTGACATCATTAATATGAGAAACAAATATTTGGGAATATCAAATTCTTTCTGCTCCCTTGAATTAATATGTGTTTCTCTTTAACCTTTTCACCCATCAGAATTTCTCACCCAAATTTTTCTGCACTTTTATTCTTCCATATTTCTGGAAATGAGCCCAAATTTTGGAGCCAACAGACAATTTGACAATTTGAGTCAATTTTCACTCAATGGCTATTTTTATTCTAATCTTCTGAAAGAAAATGCAGACTATGAACAGGACTATTTTGTAAATTTGTGATGGAAAATGGGAACTGGTGGTGAAAAAGTTAACAGTAAAATTGTCAAATCCTTTATTGATATTTCCACTAGTGAGACAAAATGAAATGCGACTAAAACTACTGTGTCAATTTCTATTTTCAGCTTTCTGATGATGAAATCACGGAGTATTATAATAAATACAGTCAGCAAGAGAGATATATAGAATGCTTTACTCAGTACAAAGCTATCTTTGCACCAATAATTGAAAGTCTTATAATACTTGATAGATTTGCATATCTACTTCAACAGGTATGTAGTATTAGCTCTTGTTAATGTGTATTGATTAGTGTATGTGCATATTGATTGGTCCATACAATGTATGTGCATATTGATTGGTCCATACAATGTATGTGCATATTGATTGGTCCATACAATGTATGTGCATATTGATTGGTCCATACAATGTATGTGCATATTGATTGGTCCATACAATGTATGTGCATATTGATTGGTCCATGCAATGTATGTGCATATTGATTGGTCCTTACAATGTA